TTATTGCTGTGTGTTTTCGGTTTATGTTTCGTGTATTTTGGTGGATCAAATGAAATTCCTCAACTGTGAAGTTTAAACGAACTGAATGCGAATTACAGCTCAAGGGGTTCGTGTTTTGGAGAAGGATAATTGGGTTTAGAGTTACAAGTGTTTGATTGACATCTAATGGTTTGCTATTGTATTAAATCTTGATACGTTCAGGTTTTATGATATCTATATAGCTTAAACAGTAAACAGAAAAGTCTTGAATGGATTACTTTTTATTAGCTGAAAAAGGGTTTAAGAACTAAAGCAGTTTCGAACTTTTGGTAGTGTTTGCAGACGCACAAAGAAAAGGAAAAAGAGGCAAGTTTTGGTTTTTAGGGGTAAATTAATGTGTTCTCTTCCCTAGAAGCTGAAAATCAATTCTTTGCTGTAGTTCTCGCAAAAAGCAGTGCTCTAATTACTGAGCATATAGTGGATAATGTTTGTGATCCTATCAAAATAAGGTGATATATAGAAGAGGTACACCAAGTGTAGATAAAAATTGAGTTCTAGATGTTGAGACTTGAAATCACGATGTTTATACCTGGCAAAGTTTTGGATGCAATTAATAAGAACTCTTAGGAGCATTGTGAAACTCTGTCATCTAAACTTAATATATTGCTTAATGTGAAATTGGGCTCTAGCCTTCTAGGCATAAGTGCCAATTTGGGCTTCAATAGTTAATTATTAGATTTCACATTTTTGGTATGTTTCTCTAAAGAAAAGGCTCAATCCTGTTTAAAAAGTGTGCAGCGACAGGCTCCATATGTTTAACGTGGCTAAATATTAGTTTCAAACCCCATTTTCAATCATCCGACTGAATTTTCTGGGCAGTAAGTTTTCTATTGATTTTATCGTTATTCACTGTTTCTTGTTCATTGATAATTTTTACTTACAGCTCACAATCCGTGATAGTAAAGCAGTGAATCCTTTGGCACAGAGTGACAAATTAGAAAAAGTGAATTCCTTGCCTCATTGTACGCATGTATTTGGTCTGGGTCAAGATATCAGGGCAACTAGAACATATATAATGGAAGTAGTTTAAGTGTTAAACTTAGTATGAACAATGGAAGAATGGTTCATAAGCAAACCTTATGTGTCCCTTTCTATACGTTTGTATATACATTGTATATGTATATATTATAGTTGTCAATTTACCAAAAAGTTGTTTATGTATCAAATGCTTATATTTGCAGAGTAATATCCTGCAGTTTGGGTCCATTCTGGTTGACATTGGGTTCGGATTGACTCCGTTTTTTAGAAATAGACAATACATGTGCTTATTTCAGTTTAAGGTCTTAATATAGGGAATACAAGTGTCCAAGAATGGCAGCTGCCAGTCCTAGGACAGATACTTCGACTGATGCTGACACCGAAGAAAATAATTTGAGGGTAATTTTGTGTTATTATTCAAATAAGTACTTTCTTTATCTTTTCTCTTGTTTCTTGATGTCAGTATAATTTCCATATGGCTGTTAAATTGAGAATTTCTTTTGTTTCTTTTGCAGTACCGAAACAATCAAATGCAGACTACTGTGGGTTCTGATGGTAGTGATAAGTCTAGAGATCAAAAGGTTTTTCAAATCAAAGTTGATCATGCAAGTTCTTCTTNTGTGTGATCTCGACTACCCGTGCAGACTCTGCGTAGGCTTGCTCAAAATCGTGAAGCCGCTAGAAAAAGCCGTCTGAGAAAAAAGGTAGGGCTTTAATATCTATGTATCTTGTATCCTGGCATTAATTATCTTCACATGCCTGTGTACACTGTCCATTCAACACACTATTTATTCCAGTAATCTTCCATATTATATTAATTTCATTACCTTTAGGTAGTTTCTAATAATTTTTTACTAACATGTAGCACATGACTGACCAGTTTGTACTATATTTCTTCTTGTATCCACATTTTACCTTTTTTTATACATTTACAAAGTCTTACATTTTTCTTTTTTCAATTCCGGCTTTTAGGCTTATGTTCAACAACTAGAAAGCAGCAGAATGAAATTAACACAGCTTGAGCAAGAGCTCCAACGGGCAAGGCAGCAGGTTCTCTTCTTTGTTCTCACTATACATAATTTACTGGCATGGAACTATTATTCTAAGNTTTTTTTTTTTTTTTTTTTTTTTTTTTTCCAAACGATAGAAGATCTCATAACAAATTAAATTGTTCGTACAAACGGGTTACAATGAGAGAACCAGAACATGCTCTGGTCTAGACAATCACACATCAAATGCACTGAAGGCAGCCACACGAGCTGAAGTCCAACAGACACAACAACACCACACCATCAAAAACAGAAAAAACTACAAAAGGAAAACAACAAGACAAATGAAAGCATAACAAATCCATAGCCACTGTCCACAGACCTAGCATAGAACCTGCCAGCCTTTAGTCCCCAACTCCTCTGCAGCTTGCAAAGTCCATCCAATCCTTAACAGCCATCTTCACAATCATCCTCTCCGGTTTCCACAAGTTTTCAAACATCCAGAGATTTCTAGCTTTCCACAGCCACCAAAGGATGTATGTGGAAAGCTGGATTCTCTTCTCAGCCACATCAGTGTGATTCAAATGTACTAATCCACCACCACCAATCTATAAACTCTCCTTCTCCTCCAGCTAAGTCAGCCCATTGTACAGGAGATATCTTCCACACCATCTGAGCCCTTCTGCATTGGAATAGAATATGTTGCACTGTTTCTGTTGCCTCACCACATCCTCTGCATCTAGCATCAATGTCCATGCCCCTGTTTTGAATGTTTGCCAAGGTTGGTAATGTGTTTGTAAATGCTCTCCATATGAAATGCTTAACCTTCCCCTGCACTTTTAAATTCCAGCATCTCCTCCTGGCCTCTTTACTCCTCTGAGCAGCCCTACTACTTTCAGCTCTGTCCATCATCAAAGCTTTCTCCACCATCAACTTAGCATAAGTTGCTGCCACAGTATGCCTCCCTTTAGTGTCAAAGGTCCACCTCCATTTATCTTCAGCCTCTGGGTTTAGGGTGTTGATTTGGAGCACTTGTCTACTTTCAGTTTCTTCAAAGAATCCCCTCACCAACCCCTCATCCCAATTCCTCCCACCATTTGCCATTAGTTCAGCCACCCAGATATCTGTTCCCACAGCTCCCTGCTTGATTTTAGGAGGACCATTCACTACCCAATTCCAGTCTGTGAGTTTAGTGGACCTGCCATTTCTGATTTCTACCTTTAAACCTTGCTGCAGCACTGGTAGGACCCCCAGCCAACAGTTCCAAAGCCATGATGAGTTGGGTTTCTTCTTACACTCAAAGATGGAGTGATTTGCAAAGTATTTGCCTTTGAGGATCCTGCTCACCAACAGATTAGGCTGTGTTGATATTCTCCAGAGTTGCTTGATCATAAGGGCTTGGTTGAACAATTTGATATCTTGGAAGCCCAGCCCACCCATGTCTTTTGATAAGTTAGATCTTTCCAAGCTTTTCCAATGCATACCTTTGGCTTGATCTTCCCCTCTGCTCCACCAGAAGTTGGCACACAAGCTGGTAATAGCTTTACAAGTTCCCTTAGGAATCTGAAAACAACTCATTACAAACACTGGCAAAGCATTTAGAACCGCTTTAATTAATGTTTCTTTCCCAGCAGTTGACAAGAATTTGTTTTTCCAGCTCACAATCCTATTTCTCACAGCCTCCACAACAAAATTAACAGTCTCAAGTTTAGATTTCTCAATACCCAAAGGGAGCCCTAAATACCTAGTAGAATTCTGAACTTTAATCCCCTCAAGAATAGTACACACACCCCTCTTCACCCCCTCAGAAGTGTTTTTACTGAAAAAAATGGAGGATTTAGAGAGATTAACCTTCTGCCCTGTGAAAGCTTTATAGTGACACAAGATCTGATTTATCAGATGGGCCTGATCAGTGGTAGCATGACAGAAAATCAGGGAATCATCAGCAAAAAGAAGATGGGTCAAACTGGGACAATCCCTAGCCAATCTCACACCTTTAAATCTACCCAACCCCACTTCATTGGTAATGGCAGCTGAAAGAACCTGAGACACTATCAGAAAGAGGTAGGGGGAAATTGGATCCCCTTGCCTCAACCCCCTAGAAGGATTCACCAGTCCCCCCACTCTCCCATTAATGTTAAAAGAAAAGCAAGGGGTAGACAGACAGGCAAAAATCCATTTCACAAATCTCCCATGGAAACCCATTTTTAACATAATAGCCCTCACACAATCCCATTCAACTCTATCATAAGCCTTCTCCATATCTAACTTCAAAGCCATGAAACAATTCTGACCAGTTCTATGCCTATTAAGAAAGTGAAATGTTTCATGGGCTATAATCACATTATCCATCAATTGTCTCCCTGGAATAAAGGCTGACTGGGCAACATCAATACACCCTTCAAGACAAACCTTTAACCTATCAGCCAAAATCTTAGCAATAATTTTATAGATCACAGAACACAGACTTATGGGTCTGTATTGACTGAGGGATTCAGGTTTCACACATTTAGGAATAAGGGTAATCAAAGTATGATTCCAGGATTTTAAAAGCATACCAGATTAAAAAAAACTACTAACAGCAAGACACAAATCTTTCTTAACAATAGACCAATAGTGCTGAAAGAAAAGAGCTGACATACCATCCTCCCCTGGAGCTTTATTAGGATTGAGGCTGAAAAGAGATTGCTTGATGATGTCTTCATCCACTGGGCCTACTAGATCATTGTTGATCTGTGCTGTTATAGATTGAGGGATGTGCTGAAGTAAGAGATCCCCCCTGTTGAGTTTTCAGACTTGAACAGCTTATCATAGAAGTTATGAATATGCTCCTCAATCTCCTTCTCTGTACTAAACACTCTGCTACCTTCTCCCACCAGTCTACTAATGGCATTTTGCTTTCTCCTTTGGATGGTATAAGCATGGAAAAATTTGGAATTGCAATCTCCATCTTTCAACCATTGTACTCTGGCCTTTTGCTGCCAATACACTTCCTCAGCCTGATAAGCTGCATCCAACTCCTTTCTCATAGATTCCCACTCATCCCAGTCTTTATCACCTCCTAATCCCCTCAGCCTTTCTAGCCTCAGAGAGAGCTTCTGAATCTGCTCCTTACTGTTGGATTTCTTCTGCCAGTCCCAATTCCTCAATGCTAATCTGGATAGCTTGATTTTTTCTTTCACCTTCCACATTGGAGTCCCCTCTAAGTCCTTATCCCACACTGACAGCAACCTTTCCCTTAGTTCTTCCTCTTTGGTCCACCTCTTGTCAAATTGGAATCTTCTCTTCACCTTAGGTTTCCCCTTGTCTCTCTCCACCAGTAACATGCAATGGTCTGATGCTGATTTAAAGATACTCTGCACAATGGCTGCAGGATAGCTGACGAGCCAGTCAAAAGATGCAAAAGCCTTATCTATTCTCTCCTCCACAAACCCCTCCCCCTCCCTATTGTTCCCCCAAGTATAAGAGTGACCTATCATATCCACCTCCTTCATTCCCATCCCCTCTACAAACCCTCTGAACCCTAGCATACTAGCCTCAGATCTCAATCTCCCCCCTTTCTTCTCTTCTTGCCAACATATGTCATTCCAATCTCCCACTAGTAACCACTTCCTTCCCCAATCATTTTTCTCCTCTGTCAACTGATTCCACTGCATAGTTCTCACCCTCTTATCAGTGTTCATATATACAAAAGTGCACCACTCCCACATAGCCTCCCCCTCCATCCTAAATTCTACCCCAATACTGAACCCAGAACACTTCACCTGCTTTATCTCCACCTCCAGAGTCCACATTAACAGCAACCCACCACTTATCCCCACTGGCTCCACCAATTTCCATCTATCTTCCATCCCCAACTTCCTACACACAGTCTTGGTAAATGCCATCGATTTTTTTGTTTCTGACAAAAGAATAAAACAGGGGTGGTGGAGTTTGATTACCTCCTTGATTTGAGAAACTGTAGAGGGTCCACCCAACCCTCTACAATTCCACACCAGAGCCCTCATTTGTCACTTTGGGGCCATTCTAGGCTGGCTACCCCCACCTCGTCTGCTGCAACTTTGGGTTTCTTCCCTTTCCCTCCTTCATTCACTGGAGCTGCCTTAGTGCTTTGTTTTAACACCCCTGCTTTTCTGCCTCTCTTCTTAGTTTTACCCTTTTGATCTTCCCCTTCATCCTCCATGTATTTCAAAGTTGTTGAACTCTGTCTAATGGCTCTTCTCCATGTTCTATTATTTCTCAATTGAACCTCCTCCCTCACCTCCATTGCCTCTAGAGAAGTCTCCACCTCTGAAGTCTTTGCTGTCCCACCAACTACCACTTGCCTCTGTTCCTCCATCTCCCTCCCTTGACTCGTCTGATGTTGCTCCAAAAGTTTGTGCACGACCAAGGCATCTTTCTCCTGGCTAAAATTTGTTTTACTGACATGCCTCTCGCTTTGTTCCTTAGGACTGAAAACACATAACCTGGCCATAGGCTCCTCCCCAGCAGTACCACTGACTTCCTCTTCGAACAATTGTTGAGTTGCCACATGTTGCATTCTTTGGGCCACCCCAGATGAATTGGAGTGATGATTTGCCTGACCTGTTGGAGTTTCATGAGAATTTCCGGAGTGGTTAGAGTTCTGTCCATTCCTCTTATTCTGACCCCAATCCCCCGCCTTCATCCATCCTCCAAACTGCCCCTCATTCACTTTCTTACATTCAATATCTTTCATCTTCTTCTCACAACCTCGATCTATATGCCCGATGAAGCCACAGTAGAAGCATAAGTTAACTAGTTTCTCATACTTGAATCTCACTGTCACTCTCTGATCTCCCAGCTTTATATTTGCACACCGAGGAAGGGGTTCTTTCAAGTTTAAAGATACTAAGAGTCTCAAGAATCTACCCTCCGGACCTCCAGTTTTCACCACCACAACATTCTTGACTGAGTTGAAAAGTTTATCCAGTTTTAACCCCACTTCCGTACACAGCCAATTCAGAGGAATATCGAAAGCTTGCACCCATATGTTCAACTCATCAAAGATAGGATGATTTGCATTCATACCTGTAACCCACTCATGAAGTATGAGGTACTGGTTCTCGAAAATCCAGTTAAGTCGGGCAGCTACCTTTTTACGGTCCTCCTTATTCCCAAAAATGAACTGGAAAAATTTTGCGCCAAGCTCCCGAACTTCAATTTGGTTCTGAACCCTCCAAATGATGCTCATGGTTCTTCGAATCCCATATAAGCTTGCCCGTCTGTCCCCAATCACTTTCCCAAACAAACTTCGCCCACATTCCTCCTCACTAGCCTTAATATCCTCTGATCCCAACTCAATATCCGCATTCTCCTTTGCTGACAGCGAAAAATTGCGGAGTCTCTCCTCCACTTCTTCTGCCGCTTCCCGATCTAGTAGGCCCTGGTGAATCTCGATCCATCGCACAATCTCAAAACAACCCTACCCCTAAAAACTCTCACTCACAAACCCTCCCGCTCACGACGCTCTAGCAAACAAAATCTACCCCTCTCCTTCTCCCCCTAAGAAGAATCAAAAGTGTCCCACTCTCAACGAGAGAATCGTTTCACTCCCAGAAGAGAGAAATCTTCTATTATTCTAAGTTACTTTCTTACTTTTTGGATTTTTTTTTCCATCTTGGTAAATGTGGCTTTCTTTGCTGAAGGGGGTATATATTTCAAGTGCTGGAGATCAATCTCAAACCGTTGGGAATGGTAAGAATTATCTTGGCTCTATGTATTACT